GTGGGGTGTATGTTATGTGTATGTGGTGTGTGGTGTGTGGGTGAGGCATGTGGTATATGTGTGATGTATATGTGTGTCTGAATGTGTTGTGGTATTTGTGTGTGTGATCTATGTGTGGTGTGTGTGTGTGGTGTCTTTGTGGCATGTGTGGTGTGTGTATGTGTGGTGTATGTGTGTGGTCTCTGTGTGGTATGTTGTGTTTGTGTATGGTGTGTGTGGTTTGTGTTGTATGTGTAGTGCATGTGTGTGTGGTCTGTGTGGTGTGTTTTGTGTGTGTTTTGCATGGTGTGTGTGGTGTGGTGTTTTTGGTGTGTGTGTCGTGTGTGTGGTGTCTGTGCGTGGTTTGTGCCGTGTGTAGTGTACGTGGTGTATGTGTGTGGTGGTAGTGGTGCTTGTACACGGTACCCGTAATGTCCTGACATTGTCCTCTGTATGGGATGAGTGTTCTGTCTTCCCAGGTGTGACAGGGGTGTCCTTTTCTTTTCCTCACACCTTCCTTTACACACACAGGAAAACCAACGACAGGGGAGACTTGGCAGTAGCTTAGAGCCAGGCCCACTTCCGGTTAAAGAACATTTACGGATGAAATGGCCAATCTGAAGTAAACAAAAGAGGTTGTGGGGAGGGGGACAGGTTAAAAAGAGGAAGGAGGAGGAGGAGGAGAAAACCGTGTGAACTTCAGCACACTATACTTGTGGTCACACAGAACAAATTCCTTTTTACTCGGTACATAAACTTGTCCTAAGCAATGTGCTCGAAGGGAAAATTCCCAAGCTGCAGTGCTAGGTTCAGAGTCATCTATCAAGTTAATCATGATCTATTTTCTTGCCCTGAATAGCGTCAGCTGGAATGTGTTACATTCCATCCCAGGAAGGGAATCCAAGGGAACAATTCCCAGCAAGCAACTGTTCAGTCTGCAGAGTGAAAACCTCCAAGTCCTTTCATTACTGTTCACAATATTTTTCCATCATCTTCCAATTGGGGAGATATAGTCAAATGGGAAAATAAGGATTGGAACATACATTATACAGTTTTGGAACCAACACGGTGTTGGTGTCAGGAGAGACCAAGATTCCAATCAGAAGGCAAGGAGAGGTTTGGTACAAGATATTCACTTATGGAGGGTGGAAAAAATAAGGTGGGCCTGCTACATACAAATTTGGCACAAACTTATAAGAGTACAAATGCTTAACTCAGTTCCTTTCACAAGTACCTAAAAGAAGTGGTTGGCCTAATGATATTTTAGCATTCAGCTATGTAATATTTGACAGAATAATGGAATATGCAAAACTATAAAAATGTAGTAAATTGTACACTGTGAATTGTAAAATGAATATCAATTTGAGTGATACAACAGATTTAAAATGTAAATTTTTATAATTCTGAAGTGTTATTATATTCATTTACTTCATTTGAGATAAAAAATGCCAATATTCTATTTGCTCACAGACCTGATGTAGCCACCTTAACCATGAATGTCCACAGGAAAAAAAATGAATTGGGCTATAAACTAGTTTCTCTAGTTTATGAATTATTGTCAGCCATGAGTTCTCTCCCTCTTCCAAATTTGGGCCTGATATTAATAGTACAAAGGACATATGTATCTATACATGAAAAGGAGGAAGCTGGGAATTTTCTGGATTACGTGGGCTAACAAAAAATTTCTCATGGAATACACAATGAATTGAAGCAATATTTTAAAAGAAAATTTACTTAATTTATCAAGTTAATTTCTTCTATTCTTCCTTATTTGGATGTGAGTAAATAGTCTACAGACAAAAGATATTTTCCTATTGTACTAAAGAATCACATTATCCAGTTTTTGGCATTGGTCTAGAGTCTAGACATTTTTATATCAATATTATACAAAAAAAATCACTAGAATTTAACCTAATTGACTACTCAAGGCACTAGATTAAAAGTCAGTGAATCCACCCAGGAGACAAGCAAGCACAGGTGCACAGCAGTTGACCCCTGGCATGCCAGCTGTTGCCTTTTGGGTTCATGTGAATGTGGGGAGGGTGGAAAAGAGCAAATTTGTTGACGAAATTTGCTAGTCACCCAAAGGCCTGATTTTTTGCCTTGGATTGTTTTGGGAGAACCCTGCCAACATTTAGGAAAGATGATAACTTGGACATTTGCCTATAATTCCTGTAACCCCTCCCAGCTGGAGCTAAGTATTAGCATGAAAACACGTTAAAATGGTCCTCCAAGGTTCAGCACCTCTAGGCTGCCTTAATCTGCTCCCCGTTCCATTTCACCTCAATTCTAAAAGCTCCATGTGTTCTTCTTCTATCCCAGCGATGCTGAGTTGCATCAAGTTGGCCGAGCCAGCAAGCTTTGGGAGTTGGTGGAGGAGAACATTTTGAAATCATCTAAAAAGAACATGCTTTTTAATTACAAGAGGGTGGGGAGTGAGGAGACTTCTCCCCAGATAATTGGACCCAAATGGAAATAAGGCTTTGCAAAAATGGAATTATTGAAAAATATCAGTAACAGTGATGTCTAGATGGTAACTCAAACAGTGGCTCCCTAACAAAATCCACCGATTTATCCATTCCCTGATGAAGACCTTTACTCAGTGTTTCCTCTGAGAAACACTGCCAAGCACGTGGGTGGGTGTTAGACAACACTCATGTGTAAGGGAGATGGCCCTGCTCGGAGAGCCATTCTCAGAGCTCCAAACGGACAAGGACAGCTGCCTGATGCCCTTAGTCTCTCTACCACTGACATATCCTTACATAAGCCAAAAGGAGGAGTCTGTGACTCAAAAGGTCCTTAGAAGTATTTCATGGCTCCACCCTTTTCAACTGACAGGCATCAGAGAAAGATCCTGACAAGGGATAGCTGAGCACACTAATGACACAAAGCATGGCTTAAGTGAACTCCTCCTTGTTTTGAAACCCACTGATAAACACAAACTTTTTGCAGATAAAACAACAGAGGCAGAGAACAGAAGGTGGTTGCCAGGGGTCAGTGGGGGAGGAGGGAGCTGACTACCAAGGGCAGCAGAGGGAGCTTTCTGTGGGAGGGAGTGGTTGGTTCTGCGTCCTGATTGTGGTACATCTATGACTCTGTGCATTTCTCAAAGTTTACAGAAATGTACATACACAAAAGTGAATTGTACTGTATGCCCATTCACAGTAAACTTAAAGAAAAGGGGACCCTCATGCACTGTTGGTGGGAATGTAAATTGGTGCAGCCACTATGGAAAATAGTATGGAGGTTCCTTAAAAAACTCCAAATAGAGCTACCATACGATCCAGCAATCCCACTCCTGGGTGTATATCAGAAGAAAATGTGTATTTGAAAAGATACATGCACCCCAATGTTCACAGCAGCACTATTTACACAAGCCAAGACATGGAAGCAACCTAATGTCCATCAACAGAGAAATGGATAAAGAAGATGTGGTATATATACACAATGGAATATTACTCAGCCATAAAAAGGAATGAAATAATGCCATTTGCAGCAACATGGATGAACCTAGAGATGGTCATACTAAGTGAAGTAAGCCAGACAGAGAAAGACAAATACCGTATCACTTATATGTATAATCTAAAATATGACACAAATGAACTTACTTACAGAACAGAAATAGACTCACAGACACAGAAAACAAACTTATAATTATCAAAGGGAAAAGGGGGTGGGGAGGGATAAATTAGGGGTTTTGGATTAGCAGGTGCACACTACTATATATAAAATAGATAAACAACAAGGTCCCACTGTATAGCACAGGGAACTATATTTAATATCTTGTAGTAAACCATAATGGAAAAGAATGAAAAAGAATATAAACATGCACACACATATCTGAATCACTATGCTGTACAACAGAAACTAATACAACATTGTAAGTCAACTATACTTAAATAAAAAAACTTTTTTAAAGTGAACTCAAAAATTATATACATAACACTATCTTTACTCAAGTGTGGAAACAGAGACCATAAAATAACCCATTGGAAATATATAGCACTTTGCAGGTTAAAACTCCTCAATGTAATTTAAACTGTACACTCCCATTTGTCTTGACTTTAAAAGATTAGGAGACATGTTGATATGAAGATAAATGTTTAATAGATGTATCGGACAAGAATAAAACTGTCTCCTAACAAACAGCCAGAGCAAGAACTTTTTGTCCCCAGAGGCAGAGTGTGCAGTGACAGCACAGTTCAAGACCCCATTCCAACCGCGTCCATCAAATTGGGCACTGAGCCTGATCCACCTTTGTATTTTCAGCACTGTTTTGCTCAGAGTAGGTGCTCAAAAAATCTTGTTTTACCTAAAGTGAAGTGAGGAGAAGGCTTCTGGCGGGTACATACAGAGCAGAAGCTCGGAAGTATCCCCAGTGTGGGATCCATGTAACTTCAAGTTAATTTTGCCACCGTGTGTAAACCAAGACTGCCCAAGGTATTTTCATTTCATTTAGTTTGGAAATCACTCAAGGTGGAGTTCAGAATTAAGAAATTGGATGCTATCTTGGATATTGGTGATGGGCCATGAAAAATAAATTAGGTCCTTTAAATACTAAGTACTGTATTAAACAACCCAGGAGTTAGCCAGAGAAAAAAATGGCAAAGCCAATTTTTCAATAAACTTTTCTGTAATCAATCAAATCTTTTTAGAATTCAGATACTATAACAGATTCAGAATTTGGTCATAAAAAGAAAGCTGCCAAAATAACAACATAAAATAAATGTAGAACACTTCATTTTTACGAATTTGGTTTTTCAAAAGAAAACAGAGATGCTGCCAAGTATCCCTCAGCAACCTTCCAACTGGGTAAAGCACTAATATATGCTATTTAAAAATTATAAGGAATCCGTTAAATTGCCAAGATCTCAGATTTCATGTATTGAGGATTTTGCTTTGATGGGAAGCAAATGCTATACACTCCCTATTGGAATTAGGTATTTCTGGATGTGAGCAACAGTTTTCTTCAAATTGGAAGAACAACGCTGTATAAATGAGAATGAATAATAAATACTTGCCTGTGGAGTCCTCTCTCAGCGTCAGACACCAACAAAGCAGCCTGCAGGAAGGAGGAAGAAACTGGCCTGGGCTCGTGGATCCCCCCCCTTCCAGGTTTAGACAGGGAACAGGTGACCTTCAGCTCCTTTGGAGTTCCTGCTACATTGGGGGAGGCTTGTTCCTGCCGCCTTATTGTCTGCACGAGGCCACTGACTCTGTTAGAGGCCTCTGTTGTTGCTTATCCTGCTTTGTAGCTACCTAGGCTCTGTGCCTGTGTGCCCGACTCTCTAGTACACCAATGACAGCCTTTCCAGGGGTCTTACCTTCACTGGGAGGCCGAACATCTGGCCCACCCCAGGCAGAGAACCCAGAAAGAGTTAGGAACAAGGGCTACAGTTCTGGCCCTTTCCTATCTCTTCTTTTTTCCCCTTCCCTCTCTCTCTCTCTCACCTGTTTATCATTGGTACGCACCATAATGTGTTTACCAGGTGGTATAAGCTGTTATAGCAGAAGGTTACAAGGCTTTTAATTGGTGCAGAAGCCTGCACTGGGCATCTCTTATAAGCATTCCACCAAGCCAGGCATAGGGAGATGAGAGAGGAGTGGGACCCACCCCCTCCCTCCCTCTTGGCATTCACAGTCTAAATGACTGAGATCAACTCACAGGCATATTGATTTGTCAGGTAGACCCTGGTTCCTGAGCAAATGGTCATAAAGACTATACGAAAAAAGAAACAAACAAAACCAACAAAAAACCAAATCGCCTTTCCTCCAAAGCAAATTAAATGACAGAGATCCAAATTGGATCACTTAACATTTTCTGTTTTAAATGTACTTAAGAACATTTGCTTATTACTAAGACAAGTTTTTGTTTTATACAACCTTAGAGAAGCCCTATGACTTTTGTCTTCATTTCCTTTTAATACAGTTCATTGAAATTATCTGGATTTGGCACCTTGATTTGTTACTTTTTAGCATTATATGAACTTTTAGAAACAATCATCCTAATAGCCATGTAATATAAGTTTTATTTAATAGTTTTTAAAAGTGAGGTATGTTCATGGTTTAGTACCAAAAAGTGACTAAAAGGAACAAATCTCATGAAATTATCAGTGGACTCTAGGAAACAAAGCATTAAAAGAAACCTCTGTGAGCAACAGACTTTGAACATATTTTCCCCCAAAGATCAAAGGGTAAGATTAAAATTTCAAAAATGTGATGATTTTTAACCTTTGAAGGTTAGGTATTTACAAAGAAATAAAAGCTGAAAATATTATATATTTTTTGAAAATTAAAAGAAAAACAGCAGCTCAGTTCACGTGATGAAATAGTACTGACTATGCACCAAGTTTTTAAAGTCCATTAGCCCTGGATACTGAGATTAGAAATGCAGTATAGACCGAGTTAGGATAAAATCATCTGATTTGACTTATGGGAATAAATTCCAGGTTTATTTGAAGGCAAAGAATTAAAATCACCCTCTACAATGTCCAACACACAGTCAGTTCTTAATAAATACTGGGTGCATGGGGGGAAAACAATGCATTTTTGGCTTGGAGGTTTAAAAAAGTCTTTGACTCTTCTTGGTTTCTTGATTGTGGTTAAGCATACTGACATGGATTCTGGATGAGAATCACCGTATCCATGGGGCAGCTCAGCAGGAAAACCGAAACAGTCTCCTCTTAAGCTTCTACCAATCCTCACCCCCCACGCCCACTGTTTTATACTCAAATGAGTATTTAATTCAATTAAAAATTTTTAATGCATTTTGAGCTTATTTTTGTGTATGGCGTTAAGAAGTGATCTAATCTCATGCTTTTACATGTACCTATCCAGTTTTCCCAGCACCACTTATTGAAGAGGCTGTCCTTTCTCCACTGTACATTCCTGCCTCCTTTATCAAAGATAAGGTGACCATATGTGCGTGGGTTTATCTCTGGGCTTTCTATCCTGTTCCATTGATCTATCTTTCTGTTTTTGTGCCAGTACCATACTGTCTTGATTACTGTAGATTTGTAGTATAGTCTGAAGTCAGGGAGCCTGATTCCTCCAGCTTCGTTTTTCGTTCTCAAGATTGCTTTGGCTATTCGGGGTATTTTGTGTTCCCATACAAATTGTGAAATTTTTTATTCTAGTTCTGTGAAAAATGATTGCTTTGGGTAGTAGAGTCATTTTCACAGTGTTGATTCTTCCAATCCAAGAACATGGTATATCTCTCCATCTATTTTGTATCACCTTTAATTTCTTTCATCAGTGTCTTATAATTTTCTGCATACAGGTCTTTTGTCTCCTTAGGTAGGTTTATTCCTAGATATTTTATTCGTTTTGTTGCAATGGTAAATGTGAGTGTTTTCTTGATTTCACTTTCAGAGTTTTCATCATTAGTGTATAGGAATGCCAGAGATTTCTGTGCATTAATTTTGTATCCTGCTATTTTACCAAATTCATTGATTAGCTCTAGTAGTTTTCTGGTAGCATCTTTAGGATTCTCTATGTATAGCATCATGTCATCTACAAACAGTGACAGCTTTACTACTTCTTTTCCGATTTGGATTCCTTTTATTTCCTTTTCTTCTCTGATTGCTGTGGCTAAAACTTCCAAAACTATGTTGAATAAGAGTGGTGAGAGTGGGCAACCTTGTCTTGTTCCTGATCTTAGTGGAAATGCTTTCAGTTTTTCACCATTGAGGATGATGTTGGCTGTGAGTTTGTCATATATGGCCTATATTATGTTGAGGAAAGTTCCCTCTATGCCTACTTTCTGCAAGGTTTTTATCATAAATGGGTGTTGAATTTTGTTGAAAGCTTTCTCTGCATCTATTGAGATGATCATATGGTTTTTTCCTTCATTTTGTTAATATGGTTTATCACATTAATTGTTTTGCATACATTGAAGAATCCTTGCATTCCTGGAATAAACCCCAGTTGATCATGGTGTATGATCCTTTTAATGTGCTGTTGGATTCTGTTCGCTAGTATATTGTTGAGGATTTTTGCATCTATGTTCATCAGTGATATTGGCCTGTAGTTTTCTTTCTTTGTGACATCCTTGTCTGGTTTTGGTATCAAGGTGATGGTGGCCTCATAGAATGAGTTTGGGAGTGTTCCTCCCTCTGCTATATTTTGGAAGAGTTTGAGAAGGATGCAGAGGACACGGGTTTGTGCCCCGGTCCGGGAAGATCCCACGTGCCGCGGAGCGGCTGGGTCAGTGAGCCATGGCTGCTAAGCCTGCGCATCCGGAGCCTGTGCTCCGCAACGGGAGAGGCCACAACAGTGAGAAGCCCACGTACCGCAAAAAAATAAATAAATTTAAAAGAAAAAACAAAAAAAAACCCATGAATCTCATTCACAACCCCCCTCAGAGACACACACCCAGAATTATGTTTGACCAAATGTCTGGGCACCCCTTGGTCCAGTAAAGTTAACACATACAAATTAACCTTCACACCAGGTGAGACGCAACTGTACGATTAAACGAGTGCTGATAAATTTACATGCAAAAAATTATGCTTTTATCATAAGTTCAAGTTTTGGTTACAGAACATTTGAAGATTTAATGAACCATTTTTAAGGGGAAATTAGTTAGCCTTTGCAGTGTTACCAGGAAACTATTGTTTAACCAAAAACAATTCTAAAAATATTAGCCACTATTTAGTTAGTTCATTAATTCATCTATCAATCATGCATGTGTTCAGCAGACCTCAGTTGGGTATTATTTTGTGCCAGGCAGTGTGCCAGACACAGGGTGTTCAGATGCCAAAGGAGAGAAACCCGTTCCTGTCAGCCAGGAACTTACTGTCTAGTAGGTGAGACAGCCAAATAAATTAGAAAGTAAAGTGGGTTACTGAATATGCTTTTTTTTGAGATATAATTGACATATAACATTATATTAGTTTCAGATTGGAGGTAGAGACAAGATAGTGGAGTGGAAGGACTTGAGCTCACCTCCTTTCATGAAAACTCCAAAATCACAACTAACTGCTCACAACCAGTGATAACAAAGACTGCAACCTACCCCAAAAGATATTCTACACCTAAAGACAAAGAAGAGGCCACAAGATGGTAGGAGGGGCACTTTCACGATATAATCAAATCCCATACCCACTGGGTGGGCAACTCACAAACTGGAAAATAATTATATTGCAGAGGCTCTCTCACAGGAGTGAGAGTTCTGAGCCCCATGTCAGGCTCCCCAGCCTGGGAGGAGCCCCTAGAGCATTTGGCTTTGAAGGCCAACAGGGCTTGAGTGAAGGAGCTCCACAGGACTGGGGGAAACAGAGACTCCTCTCTTGGAGGGCGTGCACAAGGTTTCACGTGCACTGGGATCCAGGGCAAAGCAGTGACTCCATAGGAGCCTGGGCCAGACCTACCTGTGGGTCCTGGAGGCAGGGATCGGCTGTGGCTCACTGCGGGGGGAAGGACACTGGTGGTGGAGGCCCCAGGGAATATTCATACGCGTGAGCTCTCCTGGAGGTCACCATTTTTGCACAGAGACCTGGCCCCACCCAACAGCCTGCAGGCTCCAGTGCTGGGATGCCTCAGGCCAGACAACCAACGGGGGTGGGGGGACACAGCCCCACCCATCAACAGACATGATGCCTAAAGTCATGTCCTGAGCCCACAGCCACCCCTAAACACACCCTTGACACGGCCCTGCCCACCAGAGGGACAAGACCTACCTCTACCCACTAGTGGGCAGGCATCAGTCCCTCACACCAGGAAGCCTACAAAAGCCCCTGGACAAACCTCACCACCAGGGGACATACACCAGAAGCAAGAGGAACTACAATCCTGAAACATGCAGACCGGAGACCACAAACACAGAAAGTTAGACAAAAGGAGATGGCAGAGAAATATGTTCCACATGAAGGAACAAGATAAAATGCCAGAAGAACAACAAAGTGAAGTGGAGATAGGCAATCTGTCTGAAAAAGAATTCAGAATAATGATGGTAAAGGTGATCCAAGATCTTGAAAAAAGAATGGAGGCACAGACCAAGAAGATACAAGAAATGTTTAACAAAGAGCAAGAACATATAAAGAACAAAGAGAGATGAACAAT